GAAGTTCAGCTTGGAAAGACTGATCTGTCGGGATGCTAATGTGGTCTTGAAAGTGGAGACGGATAAAACCAAGTGAAGAAATTCCATGGTTTGGAGATAGCTGTTTGTACAAGGGTTGCTGCTGAACACGGGAGGAAGGTCATGGATCTAAATCTCAATGTCTTTTGGCAACTGTGATATCCATTCAGGTAGGAAACTGAAGAAACTTGAAGGTATGTTAGCTACTTTGGGGACTCTTTGCTCTCAACTGTTCAAACTTGCAGAGCACAACCAAATGAGTTAGCCTCCAAAATTAAAAGAGTCTCGAATAGCAATTTCTCGAGTGTCACTTAGTGAGGCCTGTGAAACTGACTAACCGTCTGTCGAAGGAAAAGGACTACAAAATAATTACATGTAATACACTCAATAGGAGATGACAAAGATACCTCACAGGACTACAGAAATGCCAAAATACTAGTCTTATTGAAAGGAGAAGGAAACCGATGGGAAAAAACTCACTTTAGCAGAACCTTGGCTAAGCTGAAAGGGACCATTTTTGATGCAATCATCCCGGAGTAACAATGTAGATTACGGAGGGGACAGAGTACCAACAACTGAAGTTCTTATTTAGACAAGTACATTTGAAAACGCAGAAAACCTCGCTCTACTCGCGAAGCTATTTGGTTAGGTGGACAGAAAAGCACTGTCGATCACTTTTTTGGAAGTTTTTGCTGTTTTACAACGCCCGATTGTTGTTCTTTTCAAATCAGTGTGCTTTGTTGACACATTCAAATTCATTCGTTGCATTCCGTTTGGACCTAACTGAGAATGTTTGAATTCTTTGTTTTCCATTAGTTTGTCTTGGGGGAGAACCGCCACAAATATAAAAATGACTGGTAGTGTGTTGCCCAGATTTCTGCTACCCTGACTACTCTATCCACCGGCCAAACAAACAATCAAGGGTTTAGTTCATATTGAACACTACGATGATCACAGCGCTGTTCACCGGCTGAGGACGGGCACACGTGTGCCCTATTGTCGACTCTTAAACAACACGGTCAATGTTGCATCACCAGCACATGCAACTATTCAAATGATTTCGTCTGCGACGTCCAAAGGAGACTGTGCGTAGAACTGTGCGTAGGAGACTGCGGGTTCCGATCGCCCAACATTTTAAGTAGGTAAGAAGTTATCTAACCGATCCACAATCATCCGCGCTAGTTAGACCATTTGAAACGCACAAAACCGTAGATTGTTCTCAAATGATCGCTAGCTTGGAGATGGGCAACTAGGCCTAGGAATATCAGTACTAGTGTGCACAAGGCCTGGGTGAGTTTAAAGGTATTAATTTCGGCTTTAAATGGTAAGACACACTGGCCCTGGACAGAAGAATCGGGTAAAATGTGATAATTGCAGCTGTGACAAGATTCTACACTCAGCGCATCCGGTACTCGAGCACGAACGATCCATTCAAGAGCGATTGGCTTCACAAGTATGACTACAAGTAAACTCATGGAGCTTTCCAAGTTGTGGATATACCTGCTTGAGCAAAGCCGGACAGGAAATCAGGACACCAGCAATCCCGCATTGTATCAGTCGCAGAGCGCCGACATTTAGGTTGAGGTGAGTTGTACCTCTTACCAACTGCTCAACCATTGCGATAAAAATAGCTCGTCTTGTACTACCCTCGTCAGGTGTACGTGGGTGATACTGTGCGGGGCAAGTACGACGTTACTTTGAATCTCAGATTAGTTGACAGTACCCCGTCGTTTTTTGTTTTATTAATCTCCCGTTATTTCGAAGTGAAGACACTTGTCAGGAACGCCTGAATTGGACCTGCCAGACCACGAGATAAGGAGAAGACAGAAAACCAGAAAAATGGCTGTACTGTCGCTCAGACATACCGAGCTGGTACGTAATTATATAGGATGACTGATTGACTAAATATGATAATTTAATTGTTTGTTCCTTCCTTGACCACCTGACCTTTCATACCCGATCCACAATCGCCTGTTGCTATACTGTCTTTGTTAGGCTCGCCCCACGCACCTGCTCTCGGGATCGTGTGGTGACTGATTATGGCCTTCACGGCTCACTGTTCTCTACATATATATCTTTCGGTCTGAACAAACCTCACCGTCCGTACAGTACAATCCTTCTCAGGCCGGGTGGAGGATTTCAGCAGGCCTTCATGCACGAGGGTTTCTGGAAGAACTATGATCTTGTCGAAGGTTCTCCTAGGTCAATGTGTTGTATCGCTCGAATTCGCTCAATATAAGAAATCAAATGCAGTAACACTTATCCTTGTACCATACTACGTTCCGTAGCGGTCACATTATTTAAGAAAAAATATTTGGAATTTTCGTGGGGTGACTTCAACTCGACGTCCTGTGTGGTTCTGTCTGACACATGCATTGCAGAGAACACTAGCAGATAGCAATCTCCACCACAACTAACCAGGCTGTGTTTAGTCGAGCGAAACCCGTGTTCGCACATGAGGCCAGAGTTTCGTTAGGGTCGTGAAGGAAATTTCGTGAAATTAGTTAGCCGTTGTTATATCTGACTGCTGTCCTGCTTTAGTGCCTAGTCCCGGAAAATAGACTCACCGACAAGGAACAACAGTTTTATTTGCAAACAAGCGAGAGTCCAAAAAGTGGAGCGGCCTCGCACGCACCTCGATCCAAGGCTGTCTGGTCGGTGTTTAGTAGAGCTTGAAGGTCTCAGTAGGGTTCGGTATTCCGGGTTAATCAAGTTGAAAAGGTTTCACCAGTTTTATGGCGTTTCGGTTGCCGCAATGGATCCGTCTTGGGTCACTCGAGCTGACATATGTTGGTGTGCGGTCATCAATAGGAAGAGTGGTCATCATTTGGATTCCACTTGACCTCACTCCCCCTCAAACTAAATTGTCGGAACACTCACAACCCCACAAAGACTAAGGAAAATCTAACAGCGGCACCCGAGGCGAATCATCAAGTGAAGCACCCTGAAGTGGAAGATTAAGGAACGAAAAGCGATGGGAACTAATTCGGAATCCTCCAACACATCGATTTCGGCACCCACACTAGCCGACAAGAGTCGTTAATTGACACTCAACACTGATTTAGTCTGAAGAGAACTTACTGATTGGTTCCCCGTCTGTCTTATAACCTGGCCAATTTTGTGACCTGTTCACTTGGCCTGATGAAGCTTTTGTGTCAAAAGAGAAACGTTACCCAAATAAAAACTACCGATTGTTTACCAAGCTCTTCTGAAATGAATTTTAAGTTTCTGCATTAAGGTTTCCACCAAACGTAATTGTTCCGCTTCAAACTGATTTTGTTGTTGCAGCAAAATTTCCGCGAACGCTTCAGCAGTAATTGTCACAGTTTCGTGGGTTCGGCAGTCGCCGAACTGCTATCCCCACTCCAGTGCCCAGTGCCGGAAAAGAGACTCTTAGACAAGGATCACAACAGCTTTATTGCGAACAAGCAAGTGAGTCCGAAAGTACAACGGCCTCGCGCTATAAACTCTGGAGCGGTACTGTCTGGGGACACTGTCTGACCTTGGTCCAGGGCTATCTGGTTGGCCTTTAGTGTAGCTTGAGGGCCTCAGTAGGTTTCGGGTATTCTGGGCTAATCTTCAGGAATCTGACCTTTCTGACACTCCTGCGTCCTGCCGCTCGCCATTTGAAAAGGGAATTCATCCACGCCACAGGAGTCATGGGGAATAAAAATCAGGGTGGTGTTCGTTTTAGCCTTTTCAAATTTCCAACCAACTAAATTCTGTTGACTAACTTTCATATTTGATGATGTGTCAATATGAGCTAAAAACAACCATGACTGAATGGATATACGTAGAGGCCACATCCAACAGAGAACCGTGTGGTTAAATTGAGATTGTTTGCGCCAGACAGTTAAAGACCGTGTGAGAAGAAAGCATAAATTTCATGATTTGATACACTAACAGCAAGTATAGACTAATGGAACCAGTTTCTCGAGATTTCTTTTCTGGTCGAGTAGGCTTTTCAGAATCATTCTGATACACGAGTGGATGTGTGTGAGTGATAAACAGAAAAAACCGTGTACAGCAAGCCAAATGACAAACAGAAACAAGCAATTTTCCAAAACGTTTTGGCTTCTAACTTTGGAAGAAACATATATGGAAAAAACACGTGAAAGTCCTTAAGATCAAAGAAGCGTCGAACTAGAATCTTCCAACAGGAAAGTCATAGACTTGTGGCCTGGACCACCTAAATCCAGTCAGTTGAGCTGTGACCTTTATATCGATAAAGTGTTTGCGTTTCTTAATGAGAAAATGGCCCGGGGACCGAAACCTAGCTGGTATGTTTTAACGCGAATCGCTCAATTCTATAGTCCATCTTCTCAAGTCCTTGCTGATCAGCTGTGTGACAGTGACCAGTGCGACTTCTATCAACGTGTTTGAACCGACTTCAAATAAGTTTCCTTAGAATGCTTGTGGTTGTAAAGATTAGTGTGAAATCGACAAGTACTTCGCGTTGGCAAACACATGACTAAACCGAGAAATCGACTCCTTCTTAAGTGTGTTGTGATCTGTTTTGGTTGGTATATCCAAAATGGCTCAGTTGCATTAAAAAAGGTCATTCATTGTGACAAAATTCAAGCGTCTCAGAAAAATGAGACTCCAGGATGGGTTGGTTGCAGCGTTGGTTTTTTGAGACAACTTAATGACATTTCTTCTCACCCAACAGGTGGGAGTAACCATATTTTTCGCACTATCTTCCCTACTCAAACTGTTTTTTTTTCGGACACTGTATTGTTCATCATGCAAATTCTTTGAGCGTATCACGTGACCCATTGTTCTGAAAGGCGCCAGGTATAGTATGGATCCTCATTATCGACAGCTAAAGTCACGTCTCACATAGTGTTTTGTACTTGCAACTTTTCCCGAAGTAACAATAGGCCGCATGTCGTCTGTGGTTTTCCGTCTCAGATAATCATCCCAGGCTTGGAAACAAAGATGGTTTGCCGTCCAATCAGAGCAAGCATCCAAAGCAAGCCCACTGGAAACCAATCAAAACGACGATCTTTTGTGCCTTGGATACGAGTACAAATTTGGCTTCTGCTTCCCTGTCTTCTCACTTTGTTCGTCATTCGTTGTTGCGACGGTTCGGGGATGAGAGCCAAATTCAACGATCAGAGTGACGACTTTGATTTTACCTCCAAGGCAATAACAACTGGAGTAGTTGATGAGCGCGGGAAACAAGTAGGACGCTTAAATAAAGACCCGGGACGAAAGCCTGGACAACACTGCTTACGGGTAACAAAGGCCATTTTCACACAAGTTGGACTGCTCCTTATCCTCCTTGGTTATCTGGCCGGAGGTGGCTACCTATTCCGCACTCTTGAATTGGACAATGAGTACTCAGAGTGCATTCAGAAACAGGACGGCTATCAGAAGAAGCTGAACTTCTCAGTATCACGGACAATTGGCATAGTCGAAGCTCAAATGAGTCGCCCCGTATTGGAATCACAGGTCCGTGAGGCACTAATTGATTTTGCCGATCAGCTGTTTATTTTGAACTTCCACCCGCAGACCAATTGCTCGGCCATCCTGTACACAACCAGCGGCGCAAAGTGGAGTCTGGCCAATTCGGTTTACTTTTGTGCAACGCTCATTTCAACTATCGGTATGGAAAAAGTTGTTCACGCGCATAAGTCTCTCCCCAAGCCTCGTTTTTGACAAAAGTTTTTCGGGAATATGTCGTCCTTACTTATGATAGTATAGCTTAATTAGCCCACATTATGTAGGGGTTCCGTCTAGCAACAGAACTCAGGAGGTTGGTAAAAAACACAAGACTTGTGGGTGCTTTTATCAAATTCACTCAGTCCACTAGTCCAGTGTTAGGTAGTATGCAGTGATAAGGATAAACATGGCAAAGCTTCTTTGCTTTAGTTAGTCTCAATGTGTCGGCTTCTGTGTCAGCAGCGCTTTTGTCCATTTGTTGACTCCTTTGTCATTCTGTTTGTCAGGAGACCACACTGCAACGTACCACAGCATACCCTCGTTTTATCATGCTTCATTCGGTGACCATTTCATGTCCTTTGGTGTAAATCGGAAGACGATCAACTCTGGGCATGTGCAATGTACTTGAAAACACATGCCCTATATGGGTGCCGTGAATCACATACGCATTTCGGATCCATACATATAATGTAGGACTCAGTCGGTTGATCATTCTTCCAACAAGTGTGAGCATAATGGTACAATTAAGTATTTCTAAGTGTTTATTCCTAACGTTTCAAGGTCACTTTTGAGCCCCTTCCCAGGGGAAGTAGCACTCACGCTTATCTTCTCCTTGGGTTTTGCTATCCAAACATTTGGTGTCTGTGAAATATAACCGAAATTCTGATGTAATGAACATTTGATTTAATTCAACAATTAGAAGGCAAGATGTCCAGATGGAGACATGATGTGAGAAAGGTTTTTCAACAGTTCTACCATACTTTTTGTTACTCTCGGCTCCTGACTTGATGTTCAGAAAATACATCAATATTTTCGGATCACTGCTTACTTTGAAATGTCTTTGACCGTTTCAAAGACAAACAGTTTTACAACAGCAATCTGCCCCTGATCCACAGATTTATTACTCACGTATTTTTAGTACGATAGATTGCTCCAATTCTGACTGTGGGACTAATGTGAAGACAGCAAATGAAGTAAAACTTCCTAACTTCCTAGCATCCCCATTCACATTAAGAAACCCTCATGAATAAACTAGATACTACTACTTAGTACTCATGCATCACTTTTGGAATTCTCAACAGGCGTTCAATTCTCGATCCCAGCTTCATCGTTCACCACGTATTTGCAACTGACTGGGAGCTCTTATCCACTGGTATTCAATTTGTGTACCCAACCTAATATATGCTTGGAATTTAAAGGCGATGTTGGTCTATTTTTGAGTCATTGTTTCACCAGCTCAGTCTACTGCACAGGGTCAAGCATCCTTCGAGAGGATCATAAACTACATAACGAAGTGACTAATCGAACTGAAAAAACCCGCCTCCCAATGTCTGACTATACCTAGAATTTTGTTTGTGTAGGTACTAGTTCGTCTGCCCTATATCTGAAAATTGGTTGAAAACTATCTAAGTAACCTAAATTACTCGGAATCACTTCTACTTCGGGTTCAATGGCTACAGTGTTTTGTTCATTTCTCCTAGGTTACGGCAACATCGCACCGGCTACATTCTGGGGCAGATTGAGTTGTATAATCTATTCGGTGATTGGAATCCCGTTGATGTTGATCTATTTGGCCATCATCGGAAATGTTTTGGCTAGAGTGTTTCGTTTGGTCTACGTGAATATCATTTGTTGTCGATGTTTCTACGACATATTCCGTCGACGACGTCAGCGCCGTCGTGAGCGACTCCTGAAGTGGGAACAGGCACTGCGGCAACATGAGGAAGAGGAAGCACGCAGACGAGGTCTACCAGTACCACCACCGAAAGTAAGTCATTTACCTAAATACCTGTACTCAGGAGAAGTACTTCTGGAATGTCTAGTAATATAAAATCTACAACCGATGCAATAAGTCGTCGAAATAATTGGTTACAGAAAGTGCGAAATAATGGATAATAACAAAGTGGTGGCTTACTGAGCAGGCAGATTGTTTCTTTACCATGTAGGTATAGTATTCAGCTGAAGCGATTATCGTTGAAAATCAGTATCAGGCCGTAGATTTCTCGCATCTAAGTAGTCAGGTTGAAGAGTTGCTGGTCGTGCTCGAGGTATTAGGGTACAAAGTGAGCCGAAGTTTTATTGAATCTGTAACCTGTCAATGGTTTTGAGGTGTGGAAACATGTGAAGCATAATGTGCGCTGATTTTGGCAGTGATATATATATATATATATATATATATATATATATGTCAGCCAGTATTGGACGTCAATTTATAAGCTTTGATTGCAGTGGAGAGACCAGCTCTGGAGACGAAGGTAACAAGTTTTGTTACCTTTGCTGTTGTTCATTGAACCAAAATCTTCGAACCAGGGCTACGAGTACTTAAAGTATGGACGAAAGGACACACCCTGTGGGAGGATAGCTCGAACTGTCCAGTCCTATCTTTCGACTGACCTACGGAGTGTGCCCAGTTTCCACCCAAGCTTTTGCACCCAAACACTTCTCAACGCAGCTGAGTTGCCACATTTTTGTCCAGTGTATTAATCAATCATATACCATTGCCGTTAGTGAACCATGCAATGGGCAATGCCCCGCAGTCGTTCAGGTAATTAGAAATATCCACAAAATCCTGTCCTACCTTTGAAAAATCACCCACATCTGTCGCTTTCTGAAAAGTGGTCAAGTGTAAACACCAGCTTGAATTTGCTTCTCGCTAAGTCAGCTGGTTTTCACAAATACTGGGAAATTACTGAGCCTTCAGAAAACCCAGCCCTCATTAGGTTGTGCCAGGTCGGTGTAGAAGGAACGCCACATAGCGCATCAGTTGATAGTGTTTTCCTCCGAACAGCCCACCAAATGGGTGTCACTTCCACTGACCAGCTCGTGAATGAACTACCTAATAGACTGTTCGTTTTCGGGGATGAGTAGTTTGTTGTTAGAATTCTGTAGACCCGCTTCTTAGCGCTCCAGTATGACGGGCAAGATTTAGGTGCATCACCTTTCACGCTAACAACTTCTGATGATTGTCTGCTACCGTAACGAATACACGTTAGACTTTCACCGGATTGAAATTCACGCTAAGTCATTCCCACCAATGAGAAGTAGCTACCTTCCAAAAAGACATTTTGTGGTTTGTTACAGTGAATTTAAAAAGGCCCAATTGCATCCCATGCATTTGGGCGTGTATATCTGCGACTTCGACCGAACAACTTAAAAATTTGAGGGACGAAATCGTTACTTAGCAAGGAGGAAAGTCAATCGCGTCACTTCTTGAACGGCTTGTGGGTTGATTCTCATCCACAACAAACCAATGCAATTAGATTCAACGATTCGCTACGTACAGCGTACTACGTACAGTATAATTGCATGACACCAAGAGAGCCAATGGAATTAAAAAGTAAGAAGTGACAGTTGATTTGTATCATCTCAAATAGTACTCAGGCATTCGTCAATGATGGATGGGCCTAGCAATGACGTCTACTTTTCGAAGCCAGAAGGCCAGTCGTTCAACTGCTGGATCGGTATCTTGCTGAACTGCATTCACAAGAACGACGAGTGCGGTAGATATCACTGGAAAATGGCCTCACGGTAAATCGGCCGTCATGTGCGGCAAACCGGATTCCTTTTACCAAAAGACTTCTGCTGAGTTTCCGAATCTCTAACAAATGTCACTAGTGCGTTCAGTGAGTTTGAGACACCTTCGTTATCCAGATGTTAAGGCCTAAAAACTTCAGATAGTTCTACATCTGTTGCAGGAAGTTACAGTAACGTTGATATAGCTCTCAGCTTCGGAAATGATGGTCCAACAAAAAAGTTCAGCTACTGCCCTGGTCACCCACGATCTCACTGGGCACGTTAGAGCTCACAGTTCACCAGAGTCCGAGTCCGGTGGACTGTTCATCGTAGACTCAAGATGTCATGACGGTTACGCCCGTCGTTTGCCACTTTGTATTAATCACCACTCGGGCGCTAGTACTACTGGGTTCATATGCAGCAGACGCCGTTGCACTACCTGGCGCCCCTCTACTGATACACAACAATAGAACCGCACTGGTCACATGGCCATTAGCACTTGGTGACAAGGCTTTACACTTGATTGTCGGCTCACGTTACTAATTTCAGTAACATGGCAACACCTGATCTCATCAGGTGAGAGCAAGACTGAGAACACTAGTCAGGGTTTCGACCAGGTAAAGAGCAGGCTGACCACAGCTACATATTACGTCAAGTGCTTGAGTAGCATCACACATACCCCTGACTGTGGCACTTACCCTTGACTTCAGAGGTGCCTTCGACTCCATAGGTAGGTTGGTCTTTCGACACATAATTGGTCAACAATGAATGTCCTCGAAGTTTTGGACATTCATCCTGTCATTTACTTTCATGCTTCCGATCACGTTAGGGTTAAAAAGAGTTTTCCAACAGGTAGCGGATTTTGCCATAGATGCCTCCTCTCTTCACTTTTATCCCTTCGGTACTACCACGGAGTGTACCGTTCAAGGAACCGCAAATGTGGGTATGGAACTCACATCTAGAAAAAGACTGGCAGAATGATGTTGTGCGGATTGTTCTGTCAGTTGACAATCATGTGTCCACACAAAATGCTGTAAATGGCATGTTCCTCTTTTTGGCATGAAGTCCACACGGTCTGCGTGGTCTTATTTCAGGATTTCCATGTACCTTCTTGAAATTTAAAAATGAGGAGTCGTAGATAACTTTACCTATCTAGGCAGCAACGTAAGCCGGAACTGCATTGTCAGAGATGAAGTCGATGCACACATTATCAAGGCACGAGTAATATATACCAACTTGCGTCATTTATAGCACTAGAAAGAATTTCACCGAGGCTAAACGCTCATGTCTAAAAACGACTGCGACAGCAGTCCTACTATGTGGCTGTGAAACTTGCCTGCTTCACCCACCCCGACCTGAAAATTTCAAACCATGATTGCCTCCGTACTATGGCAGGCATCAAATAGCTCTGGCAAATGGCTAGTGAAACGGGTCGTAGGCGAGCTCTGGGTAATGAGTCGAATTCACTCGAGTCGCGGGTAAAGTTCATCAAGCTAAGTTTGCAGGAGCATGTACTAAGTAAGTCCGACCATGGTCTACCGTTTTCACTCAAACTCCTGTTGGCAAAAAAGTTCGCGTAGGATAGACCACTGCTAGCAGCACAAAATGAAAGCGGCTACTGTCAAGTTGGCTTTTCCACTTTCTTGAGAGGTTAAACTTGATATCCCTCGTGCATGGTTTGGAACCTTACAGGACGTGGCATGCAGCCAATTCCAGTGGTGGGCTTGGTTTCACTTAGCCCGACAGAATTGTTTGTCGTCGTCTTGAGTGAGGTTTGCAAAAGACGTTGGGTCAATCGCACTAATGGCGTCTTTCTCCAGCATGGTACTCAGATTTGTTTATCTCATTGGCATTGGGAGATGTGGGAACCACGTCCTTGATCACTTTCTCTAGGAGCATGGGGTTTTGTGCAATAAATCCCTACCTTCATCCTTTGTTTACTAAGGATGTTTAACCTTCATGCTTCTTGACAGTTGAAAACCAGTTCCTACTGGTGGTGCATTGTCCCTATGATGATGACAATATATTCAAACAAGGCAATCTTGCTGGGCTTTCGCGAAGCTCACCCAATGGAGATAAGGAATAAGTGTCAAGAGTCGTTTCTTCACGAAGGTCCTCTAGTACTGGAAGACCGTGCCGTTCGGAATCAAGCACTTGAAACGTTTAACAAAGGACATCTTTGGATTAACAGAATGAAGTACATCGCTTGAAGTTGTGCCTACTGAACTTCCCTTCATCCGAGTGTTGACGAACTTGTCCACAGCTGTTGGCAGTGGGCAATGGTAACCAAATCCCCCGTGAAACCTCATATACTTTCTTTGCTGCTGCTCGAAACTTCATGGGAACTAGTGTACTTGGGTTTCATCAGTCCAGTGTAAGCGTACATGTACACAAATGGACATATTTGTCGAATTTCGTACACTCTGAATTCAAGTTGAGCATAAAGTTAACGGAAACTCTTGAACTGCCTCCAAGGAGGGCGAGACCGGTCCCGGGCTGTCGAACAGTTTTCAGCAGCCGTATGAGTAGCGTGCTACTTCTAAACGATACCTATCCTTAGCGGGATGTTTGCTTATTTCGGAGTTCCGGAACATCCGGTGACAGATAACGCAACTGAGTTTTCAGTCCATGAGATCGCTCATTTCTTGGCGTCTCAAGAAACACACCGTTTGCATGAATCACCCTATCATTCGCACTCGAAAGGTCAAGTTTAGAGTTTTGGAGGATAGATGGTTGAACTGGGAAACGGAGGAAGCATCAAACACTGTGTGCACGCTTTTCGAGGTCAAATCGACTGACGCTCTGTGACCCGATATCCAGTCAGCCTTCTCCTTGTGTCTCCAGTATAATGTGTAGGTTTGCCCTTAAAACTAATGTTGCCCAAAAATGTAATTTTAGAGGGGACCACTGCACGGAGAGACGATCTGCGGCAATCTCAAGTTCTTTCACTTCAAGAGCCTCCGTCTTCTGTAGAGAATTTTCGGGGAATGTATACCTGAGGTATTTTTTACAAGGTTTTGGAAATATGTAAAATAAAGTTAACTGGATGCACATTATCAATCGCATGAGCATCCAACATCCAGCACTATTTGACACATTGTTTTTTTCACCTATGTTTTGAGTGAAAAAGACACTGGGCAAATAAGTGATTCCGGAAAGATAGCTGTTCCTGCCCCATCAAGCTTCCCATCAGCCCAACATTCCTTGAACTCCACGCTACTTCTCAGCAGACTCATCATCAATCCTCGTTTCAAA